TGTGTGTGCGTGTGTGTGTGTGTGTGTGTAATAAAATGTATTAAATTATATTTAGAATTACATAATACAATTAGAGATAGATACTAAAATAATAACTGTTATAGTTATATGTAATTAAATTTCATTAATAACCTATAAAACATTTTATTAAATAATATAAATAAATGTTTGTTAATATAATATTTGATTGTAGATATTTATTACACTATAAACCTACAAACTGTATTGAATTATGTACATCAACTTTATATAAATAATATAGCAAATCCTGAAAATATGTCAAACCTGAAAGCTTAAACGAAAAGCTATATAAAAACAGTTTGATGTAAAACACATTTTTTTATTCCAAATATTTAATTTCTGAGAGTATGTAATGAACTGTATTTATATTATATTTGTTTAAATGTGTATTTTAATACAGGATTTAACATTAATGAAATAATAATACAGTAAATATTGCAAATGCATATGATGCAGATATGGATTTGTTTCATCATTTGAAGGCTAATGGGCAAAAAATGGTGTAATGCATGGCTGAAAGTCTCTCTCTCACCCTTACCCACCCACCCACACACACACACACACACACACACCACACACAAATCTAACTGAAATATGAGGAGGTGGATATGAGCCGTGATCTACATCGAGACAATGAAGCGGGTTATTATTTCAGTGCTGTTTTAAAACTGCGTATATTGATTTCCAAACACTGGCCATGATGACCCTCTAAAACAGGCACCGTGTGAACCTGTCGTGTGAACTTGAACCTGTCCAGACCCACAAACTCACACATGTGAACTGCTAACGGTCCATGTTTGAGTGTATTAAATGTTTCAGAGCAGCACGCAGACATTATATAACCAACTCAAACAACCTGCTTCCCCTCACTCACTCACTCGCTCACTCACTAGATAATAGCGCTTTCCCCATCAGACTGGCAGGGCTTGAGTCATTTTACTCTTTAAAGTTTTAAATTTCAGAATGGTTCGATATTAACTGTATTAATAGCAGTTAGTCTGACGTTACAGGGATTATATATCTATATATACAGAACAGAAAGGCAGACTTACCGTTGTTTACAGCTGATACGCAACTTCCTAAATGAACTGCGCTTTCTCCGGAAAGTAGGAATATTATAGTGTAAAACAACTGTTGTGTGCTCCAATCCATGATCAAAAATGTAAACAACACCTCCTGACTGCAGTCATGTATCTTCAGACTAAGTTACATATGCTTGTACAGGCCGGGTTTGTGCTCTCACGCTGTAAACGGCAGAAAATCCCCCTCGATGATGTTTGCCTCACTACTTCTGAATCATTTCTGTTTCTGTTTATTGCTACACGGATGGGCCGCTGTGGTTGGCCAGCTGTCAAGAACGTCATAGCGCAAAGCCACGCCCTATAATGCAGTGCAGTTGATCGTGACATTTTTTTTAGTGTGGAGATGCAGTCTATGGTGGAGAGTCAGTAAAGAGAGGTTTAAAATAATTAATATTAAATTATTTAATTTACTTTAATGTATTATTTATCCCCCAATTCTGGACTATTTGTTTGCGACACCGCTCTTATCTCTTACAGCTCTTATTTTTTTAGTAGCACTGTTTTGTAAATTGCGCAGTATTGTATTTTATTGTGTATGAGACTGTTGGACTTTATTGTGTTATGTTTAATGTTGGGAGCAAATTCCTCATAAGAACAATGTTACATAGATGCCTCAAAAATTCTAATTTCAATTTCTTATTATGGTTGGTTGGATTTGCATTAAATTGTCATTTGTCGTGACTAATGTAATAACCTTTTAAAATAGAAGGTACAAAATGATTTGTTCTTTGTTACTTAGGCCTATAGGCTATTTCAAAGTGTGTTTGATTATAGATTCACTGCATACTTTCTTAGTTCTCTGCTTAAAAGTCATGATCAGTTCGACTTATTTGACTCAAGAAGGGTTTTACAGAGGTTTTAATCATTTATTTTAAATCGCGGATCAGGTGAAACATATTGAAAATGCATTTGGTCACATTAAACTGATCAAGTGTTCTTGAAAAGAAGAGAAAAAAAAACTCACAAAAGAGACAGTGACAATTATACCTTATACTGAAAAACTGCTAAACATTACCAAAAAGAACAAAATGTAAACTGTGACACACAATAACACTATGCAGACCCTTTAAACACAATCATACATATGGAAAAACACACAAATCCACAGTTTTACAGTAATATACAAGTTCAGAATGGAAAGAAGCTACTGTATTTTAGAATGTAACTGCTTATCAAAATGTATTACCAATATATGAAATCTGTTTCAGCAAAACAATGAAGCCTAGATTGTCTTGCGATATAGTTCTCACTACCACAATCACACTCATTACCACAACAAAATTACCAAATATACAAGGCGGTTTAATATGCATGGCTTATTAGGAAGTACAGAGGGGATTTCTGAAACTTAAATGTAGTCTTTGTGTGTGCCCTTATTCCCAAAAATGTAGAGAAACACTAGATGATTAAAAACAATGTTCTTCATTCACATTTTTGCAATAGAATAAATTCTTAAATGAAGCATTAATAATTTCCATTAGACAATGCTAAAAGACAGAGAAGCAAACACAGCTGAAATAAAGAGGAAGTTTTTAAACGTAGATTATTTTTTAAACCACGGAATAAGAATTTGAAGTGCATCTGTGGCCTTTATTACAACAACACGGCTCCGGTGATCTGGGAGCTGTGCAAAAGTAAGGTGCGCATAAAGAACAAACATGTAATGCATACACACTTCTGATCAAACCAGTTTCATATTTCAAAGGAGAGAAAATAATACTAAAATAAGGTTGTAACACTGATAACACCACCAACAGTGCAAGGTAAACATTTACTCATGGCCAAGCTGTTCTGCTTTGCTTTGGTATGCAGTGGCTTATTTTGGATATGTGGACTCTTTTTGATAGTAGTTTATTGTTTTAACTAGAACAAACTATTTATAAAAACAAGCATCCTGCTGTAGATTAATTATTTGAAGACTTCAGAAAAGCAGTTCGCCCTGGATAGAAAGGATCATAGAGATCCAAAAGTTGCATTGTTGAATAGTTGCAAATGTTAAAGAGTAACACTTAAAAGTCAACAAGAAATGACACCCACAACCCCTTTTACTTTCGTAATGTGTTGGATGTTTCGAAATGTTACCCATTATTAAAAGTGTCTGCTTCATACAACAGTTTGCAGTCAATTGTGAATGACTCTTCCCCTCTTCACACACTGCCAGACAACCATTGGTTAAAATGTAAGTGGCCTTGGTGATGTCATCAGAAAGGAAATTTGTTTCAGAAGTGGAGCAAGTTGTTATATTTTGAATTTAAAGATTACAAAGATTTGTTTTTGTTTGTTTGTTTAACAAGATCGTGCCCATTAAGACTAGGAACGCATTTGTTTTGTTATATATCCTTTTCAAAATACTATTTGTTTCCTTATGTATACAACTTTTAATGAGGATAAAAATACTGAGTGCACCTTTAAGAAAGTAAATAGGGTCAATTTTGATTTCATGTTGACTTTAAAGGCCTGTTCACAAAAAGACGAATGTTTGATGCAAAAAATTTGTGCGATAAACAACTGATGGAATTTTTTTACAGAGAGGAGTTCTAATCTCTTTGCCATTGCACTGCAAAGAAAATTAGACAACCAATAAGAGTCACACTTTTGGTTATGCGCCCAAACATGCTGCTGTTACATAAAACTACGACTTGGTGGCATATTTTGATAAGCGACAATAAACAACAGAGGAACAATCTGGAACTAGCCTTTTTTCTTCTTCATGACAAGCGGGTGTCAGAAATTGAAATTGCGGTGTCATTCAAACTGTCCAATGTTTTTTTTTTTACACATTTTCATGATATACATTTGTTTTAGTGTAAACAGGCCTCAACAAACATTTTCATGATATACATTTGTTTTAGTGTAAACAGGCCTCAACACCTTAACAATATTAAACCACACTCAACAAACAAGCCATTTGGCCCATTTTAACTTTTACATCCAAGAGGAATTCTGTTGTTGTTCTGAATATAAGACAAAGTGAAAAAGACCCACTTCTCACTTCATAAAGGATATCCCTTTCATAATGCGTTTAAATGGTCTGTCTTGGGGCTTTATAAGATCTGTATGTGCACAGTATCCTCCTATAGCTACAGTACGGACAGACAACTCGACTATCCTCATCATTCCTACTGCAGTTTCCCTGACTGAATGAACACACTCTCACTCAAAACACAAATGGAAACATGCACCTATACACTGACACAAACACATGCTAGTCCCCTGCTTGTGGCTCTAGGTCTGGGAGTAAAACATTTTCATCTTGGTCGTTTCCTTGGGAACTTGTCTGTCTGTAATAGGCGCTGCCAAACGTTGGAAGCCTTAGGATGCACAGAGAGTTTCTCTTGTAAAGGAGCCACAATGATCCCATCACCACAGCAAACAGCACAATGGCCACCAACGCAGCTGCTGAGATCACACCTTGGTGTAGACCTGGAAAGAAACTTGCACGGTTGAGTTTCAGTACATGATGAAAGCTTTCAAGTTCAGCCCTTATAAAATATTTTGTAACATGATTTCTTATAAGTTTTCAAATGATGCCTGACTACATTGTCACTGTAGACAAATTACAAAGTCTGCTGAGTACACTCAATTTTGAGGAACTGGGAGTTGTTAGCATTGTGAAAGAGTTGAAAGGGAAAAGGAGATGCATAAAAAGTTGCCACTTCCTCAAAAGTATGATTCACCACATTTTGATTTGTTACTTGAAAAAATTATATTTAAAAAAAAATATTCTAACCTTTCAATGGCTCCACTTCTACCTCTTTGATGGCACCTGTGATGCAAAGCAAAACATCTGAATAAAAATCCGAGCAACTACACGGCGGAAGTAGTAACTGATCAAATGTTGCCCTCAGCCACGGCTCTCAAAACCACAGAAGAAAGTAAGTCATAAGACATGAGGGTGAGTAAATGATGACCTTTGCATCTGTGTAAACTATTCCTCTAACAGATACTTTGTTTTGCCATTTGTGAGTCAGTGCACAAATGATACAGAACATTTATTGCAACAAAGAAATGTTGCCACTCTAAGGCCAACAGTCATTTTCTGGTATTGTTACCGCAGTAAATATCAGAGGATCGGGACTGTACTGAGCCTCCGCTGGTGGTTTGTGCTCATGAGGTTGAAAATCATGCCTTTTACCTGTTGAGGTTTTGCAGATAAAGCCCAGTTTCTCAGTGCAGTCGGCTAACTGCCACACAGCATCTGAAACCCGCATGGTCACACATGAATCAGCCCTCATGTCACCGGCATCTGGAGCTTTGGAGCGCCAGTTAGTGTAATGGAGCGGTGAGCCATCCAGTCGAGTCAAAGCATCAGCTAAAATAAGCAGCTTGGTTAATTGTCTCAAACACATCATCAGGACAATTTCATTTTTAACATACAACTTTTAATAAATATTACATAACATAAATAAAATAATCAATATACTACATATATTATAAAGATAAAAAGACAGATAGATAGATATATAATATAAATAAAATAATAAATATACTATATATAGTATATAAAGAGAGAGAGAATAGAGACAGACAGACAGACGGATAGATAGATAGATAGATAAATAGAGGTATACAGTGGGTATAGAAAAGAATCACCCCCTTTAAAATAATCACATTTTGTTGCTTTGTAGCATGAAATGAAGGCGGACACAGATTTTGTTTCATCCAGCTGTATTTTCTCAGTGCAACGTATAACATCCAAGTGAAAGATATAACACCAACATGTCAGAAAAAAAAAACAGAATCACCGAGTTGGAAAAAGGATCACCCCCCTTCTGTCAGTATTTTGCTTTATAATTTTTTGCAGTATACACCTTTTGCTTTAATTACAGCCTGTAGTCTGTTGGGATTTGTCTCGGTTTCTACTAACTTTGCACATCTAGATTTTGCAATATCTGCCCACTCTTCTTTGTAGAACTGCTCGAGTTCAGTTCAATTTGATGGTGACTGTTTGTGGACTGCAGTCTTCAAGTCATTCCACAGATTTTCAATGGGGTTTAAGTCTGGACTCTGACTAGGTCATGCAAGGACATTCACCTTTTTCTCCTTCAATCACTGTGTGCTCAGTTTTGCTGTGTGCTTTGGGTCATTGTCATGTTGGAAGGTAAACCTTCTTCCCATTGACAACTTTCTGGCAGAGGGCAGCAGATTTTCCTCAAGAATTTGACTGTATTTTGCCCCATCCACTTTTCCTTCTATCCTGACAAATGCTCCAGTCTCTGCTGCAGAGAAAACACCCCATAACAGGATATTACCACCTCCATGCTTTACTGTAGGAATGCTGTTATTTGGATGGTGAGCTGTATTGGATTATCGTTTGGTGTTGAGGCCAAATAATTCAATTTTAGTCTAATCTGCCTCACAGAATCTTCAAGGTGCGTTTTGGCAAAGCTCAGTCGTGACTGCATGTGGCCCTTCTTGAGTAGTGTATTGTTTCTTGCAACCCTCCCATGCAAGCCACATTTGTGAGAATTTGTGAAATTGTTGTCACATGCACACAATGACCACTCTTTGTCATAAACTCCTG